TCCTTCACCCAGGAAATTAGTGTTCCCTAAAGCTCTGCTTTTCCTGTCTCCCTTACATTCCCAGCACAGAAATAAGGAAGAGAGGAACCTGGTGTTCCAGAATGTTTGTGCTCCAAGGAAGTGGAATATGGTTTTCCTCCAGCAATGTTATAAATGGTGGTTGACTCCATGTGGGGAGCAAACCGGACTAGACTGAGTTACTGGAATTAAGACTTATTCTATGCATCTGCTCTCCCACAATATGGCGCTGGGAGAGAAGTAAACAGCTTCCGCACAGCTGCCTCCAGTTCAACCAATAAACTGTAGGACTTGCTCCTGACTGGAGAGCAGCGTACTCGGCGTGTGGGCAGCCGAGTTGGGATTGGCGGAGGAGGACTATAAAGGAGGAGAGAGACGGCATGCACCAGTAACATCTATGGGGAACATCTAAGGGAACCCGTGCAGCCCCCGAGAAAGCCGGCCGGCGGTGTGCTGCTCCCCTGCGGAAGTGGGGAATGTGGCCAGGGGGAACTGCCCTTCCACGGAGGTGGAAGGGATAGTAGCCAACCCGGGAAGAACCAGCAGCAAACCCGGGGAGGGCCGAGCAGACGAAAGAACAGCGCAGGGTCCTGTGTCGTTCCCCCACGAAGACAGGGAGCGACAACTCCAGATCACTGTGCAACCATACCCATGTAACCAGGGACATAGATATAGCAGTACTAGGGTTCTGTACATGCCAGTGACATAGATACAGCAGTACTAGAGTTCTGATTCATGCCAGTTTCAATAGGGTGGGAAGTACCATCATGCTCTTAAAACTGTATATATGAAATACATGAAATTTGTTTCTTTTATAAAAATTATATGTAAAAACAAAAAGATAAAAAAGAACCACAAAACAAAACAAAAAATTTACACTACAGTTCCAATTCCCTCAAAATAGTATTGCCTGTTTCTTGCTTTAATGCCAATTTTGGGGCAGGCTGGGTACTGCAGTTAGGAAGGTGTAGCCCGGTGAGTTGGCATCATATAACACAGCTTTCTATTCTCCCAGCCACACCTCACACTCAAACAGCACAGACTGCTTTTGCACCCTTTAAAGCAACATGTGCATATCCTTCTCTCTGCCTGGTAGGCCCAGCCCTTTCTTCTCCCCCTGACTATTGTTCATTCTCCAGCTGCACTTTGGCATCCTCTGGGAGTTAGCCCTGATCCGCTCTTTGCTGCTTTGTAGATAGTCTCTCCTTATGCTGCTACTTGTGTAATTCTTTTTTAAATTAGTTTTTCTCATTTTTAAAAAATTATATACATGTATATTTAATTTGAAAGACAGAGTAACAGAGAGAGAAAGAGGGAGAGATCTTCCATCCTCTGGTTCACTCCTCAAATGGCCAGCACAGCCAGGGCTGGGCAAGGCTGAAGCCAGGAGCCAGGGGTTTCATCCAGGTCTCCCCCATGAATGCAGGGGCCCAAGCACTTGGGCCATCATCCACTGCTTCCTCAGGCGCATTAGCAGGGAGCTGGATCAAAAGTGGAGCAAGGCCGGCGCCGCGGCTCACTAGGCTAATCCTCCGCCTAGCGGCGCCGGCACACCGGGTTCTAGTCCCGGTCGGGGCGCCGGATTCTGTCCCGGTTGCCCCTCTTCCAGGCCAGCCCTCTGCTGTGGCCAGGGAGTGCAGTGGAGGATGGCCCAGGTGCTTGGGCCCTGCACCCCATGGGAGACCAGGGAAAGCACCTGGCTCCTGGCTCCTGCCATCGGATCAGCGCGGTGCGCCGGCCGCAGCGCGCCGGCCGCGGCGGCCATTGGAGGGTGAACCAACGGCAAAGGAAGACCTTTCTCTCTGTCTCTCTCTCTCACTGTCCACTCTGCCTGTCAAAAAAAAAAAAAAAAAAAAGTGGAGCAGCCGGGACTCAGACTGTCACCTATATGGAATGCTGGTGTCACAGGCTGCAGCTTTACTTGTTACACCACAATGCTGGCCCCATATGATTATTTCTAAGCCTCACACCCTGTGAGTGTTTGTGTGTTTATTGTATACTACCTGACACATAACATATGGACAATGAGGACATTAGGTGTAAACAAATGAAAACACTCACTTAAAAAAACACTCACTGCCTTTATTCTAATTACCCTTATCATTCAACTATCACGCTTGCACCTGTCAAACACAAACAGCTTTTTACAAAAGCAGGTGGCTCAAGTGGAGCCAAAGGGAGTAAGGACAAAGAAGCAGAATGTGAGAGTGGGAAGTCAAAATAAAGCCTAAAGCACCAAACATACGAGACAGTCTTTATCTAAATCTCTCTGGGATCAAGACAGAAACTGAAGACCCGTGCTGCACGTCATCCCCTCATGGATGGGAGGTGAGGAACGGAGGGAGCCAGGAAGAGGGGTATTGTGGATGACGTTCTGCCTGAGCTGTGAGGGACTGTGGGTCCTTACGGTCCTTCCATAAGGAAAAGATGGAATGTGCACCTGCAACTGTAGTACTACACATTTACCAGTAGAGGGCAGTCAGAAATGTTTGCTTGTATTTTCTCCTCCCTTCCCTAATATTGACTTTGTATTTCAGATAATATAAAATTGACAATTCTTGTCTTCAGAGGTGGGATATGGAAGGTGATGGATGTAGTAATCTCTTAATAACTTGTGGAAAGTTTTTTGGATATTCTGATTTGGTGCTCGAACACGGGTTGGATTTAGTGGAAAGAATTACTGTGCAGTTAAAACTTACTTTGGAAAAAATGAGTATTATATCCTAAATTCTGGGCCAAGTGACTCACAGACATTATCATATTTAATCATCACCAAAGTTTTAGGATGTACTATTTTGTTAGTCCCAGTTTCTATGCTAAAAATCTAAACACTGGATAATTTAAGTAACCTGCTGAGCCTTATGCTTCCTTATGTGTCATATAAGTTCCTCCTTGGAACCCAGCCAGTTTCTGCCATATTGCTGTGCTAATCAGATGTCGTGTGGGGCCTGTGCTGGCTTTAGTCCTAGGGAGAAAATGGAAGCAGAAATAAGTGAAAAGTCAGTGTGCAGGTGGCTGATTCTAAGTCCTGGTTTCAAGGTCATATTTACTATACTGTAAGAAAATATATGATAATTAGATATTTTTGAAGTTTCTGAAAGTTTCCACAGATTTCCCTATCGTTTCATCTCTAATACCATTATGGCTAACCATAGGCATTTTATTTACTTAAATTTCCTCCTTATGGTCTCCCTGTGAATAAATGGAAAACTGGGGTTTAGAAGAGCAAAATCTTCCCATCACAGTTCCATAAGACTTTGGTTTTGATTAGCATCAACTGGGAGATAGATGTTAGCAGATAGACCTGCAAGGAATAAAATCAAGATATTTTTAGTTCAGGATGACAAATATTTTTTAATGTTTACTATGTTGCCAAGCGTTGCCCTAGGAACAGGGGTTAAAAGGTTTTCAAGACTCCATTCCTTTCTGGAATGTAGTATCTAGCTTGGAAAACAGAAACATAAATCAATAGCTATAATGTAATATAATAAACTCTATCTTTAGAGCCTTATAAAGTGCCAGTGTAACAAGGAAATGACAGTTCTTTGAGTTTCCCAATATACAACAGTTTATGCTATGGATTAATATTTGAGATTTCCATGGTGCTGTTTTAAATTCAGAATCATGTTAAAGTGATGGAGAATCTAAAAGGTTAGTTTTAAAACTGAGCATGAGTGAAACTGCATTCTATGATGGAGGAGTACCTAGATTTCTTTTTTTTTCCTTTCTTTTTTTTTTAAGATTGATTTTATTTATTTGAAAGTCAGAGTTATACAGAGAGAGGAGAGGCAGAGAGAGAGAGAGAGGTCCTCCATCCGCTGGTTCACTCCCCAGATGGCCGCAACGGCCGGAGCTGTGCTGATCCGAAGCCAGGAGTCAGGAGCCTCCCCCAGTTCTCCCATGTGGGTACGGGGGCCCAAGGACCCAGGCCATCCTCCACTGCTTTCCCAGGCCATAGCAGAGAGCTGGACCGGAAGAGGAGCAGCCGGGACTAGAACCGGCGCCCATATGGGATGCCAGTGCCTCAGGCCAGGGCGTTAACCCACTGTGCCACAGTGCCGCCCCCCTCTAGGTTTCTTATTTTGTTTTTTAAATTTATTCTACTTATTTGAAAGGCAGAGCTGGGGGGGGGGGTAGAGAAAGAGAGAAGAGAAAGATCATCCTTCCCCTGGTTCACCTTCCCAGATGACGGCAACAACTGGGGCTGGGCAAGGCAGGAACCAGGAGCCAGGAGCTTCTTCCAGGTCTCCCAAGTGGGTACAGGGCTCCAAACACTTGCGCCATCTTTCTCTTCTTTCCCAGGTACATTGGCAGGGAGCTGGATCAGAAATGGAGCAGCCGGGACACGAACCGGTGCCCATATGGGATGCCGGCATGACAGACATCAGCTTTACCCACTATGCCACAACACTAGACTCTAAAGTACCCAGAATTCTGATCACATCCACTCACTAAAATGTTGAACATACAGAGTAAATGTGGCTAGCATCAGTGAATTGGCGAATATTACTCATTAGTGGAATATTTCCTGTGCGTGAGGTTGTCCAGCTTCCATGATAGAACAACGGCAAAGGGTTGGAAAAGAAAACTTAACAAATATACATCATCAAGTAGAATAATTTAATATTACAGTTGGGAAGGCTGAAGAAAATGTCTAGATGACAGAGATGTCATCTATGTTGTAGATGACAGAGCTGAGATTTGACAGTAAAAAATGATCACTGTTTATTGTAGCATCCTCCATCTCTAAATTGAATAAAGTATAAAACAATAATTGAGATGAAAATAAGGTTACACAAATTAACAGGAGGGGGCCACAATAAGAGTTTGGTAAACACTCATTATTAGAATGCATGCATCCCAGTTCCCTTAATCTTTTTTCTGACCTAACATTTTGGTGTCGGTGACACAGAATGAAACCTTTCTTTGAGATCTGAGTGCTTGGGTGGTGTTCTCATGCTGCCTTACTTCTGTCCTCTCAGGGCCAAGGAGATTAAGATTAAGTTGGGAATTCTCCTGCAGAAGCCAGACTCGGCCACGGACCTTGTCATCCCTTACAATGAGAAGCCGGAGAAGCCAGCCAAGCCGCAGAGGTGAGTCATGATTAGGGAGCTGTTGCTCCCTGTAGAGGGTGGCTGCTTTTCAAGTGCACAGCGCCATTCCATGTCTGCACAACTAGCCCCTTCAATTACTCTCAAGGGCCACGAGAGCCCCTGGGGAGTTGGTTTGTAAAGAAGTATTTTTTTAAAAAATAGCATTATTAGTTTACTATCCCATGTCTGGGGCAGAATACTGGCAGAATCCGTGAAAGGAAGAAAACAAGATCTTGTTCTGTCTTTGGGAAGATGGATCATGCTATAAGATGACACGGACCACTGTCTCCATCATTTACAGCACCGTGTAGTCAAAAGACCTTACTGTTGTCTACTGCCCTGGGTCAGGCAACCATCTCTGATTCAATTCAAGGCTGTTCATCTTCCCAGGAACTACCCAAAGCTGCAGTCTCAGCAGGGAGATGTAGGTGAGAATACTTCCCTCGAAGATGCTAAAGATGAGGCACGTAATTTATAGATTGGTCTCCAAGACAGTATCTCTTCCAGGTCCCACAGAGGAACAGAACACTATCACTGGAGCAGGTGCTGTGGTTCAGTGGGCGAAGCTGCCTCTTAGGAGGCCTACATCTCCTAACAGAATGCCAGTCGGAGTTCCGGCTGCTCCACTGACAATCCAGCTCCTTACCAATGCATCTGGAAAGCAGCAGAGATGATGACTGAGATACTTGAGTCCCTGCCAACTACATGACTGTCCCAGAAGGAGTTCCAGGCACCTGACTTTGGCTGAATCAGCCCTGGCTATTGTGTCCAGTTAGGGAGTGACCCAGCAGTTAGAGAATTTCTCTCCATCTCTTTCTCTCCCTCTATCTTTTACTCTGTTTCAAATAAATAAATAAACCTTAACAACACAAGAACAAGAACAACAACAACAAAAAAACAGAGTGACTATTTGACCAGCTATTTCTATCTATTGCATACCAAATATTGTTCCCCATCCATAGACTATCATTGTTGACTGGGTCTCTGTAGTCTTCCCTCTCTTACTCTCACCTCTGATTCAGGCAGCAGTGGTGAGGACACTGTACTTCCAAGGAAATGAAATGCTCAGACAGTGAACCCAGCTCCTACAGTTTATATTGGCCCTAACTTAACAAGCCTACTCACAACATTCTCATTGTTTATGTTGGTTGCACCAGCTACCCAGACCATCATGGCCTTGAAAGACAAACCAGCTTCCCATCCCTCCTCCACCTTCAAAAATTTATTCATTTGAGAAGTATCAAGTGAGAGAGAAAGAGACAGGATTCAACCTATTGGTTCACTCCCCCAAAGCCCATAAAAGGCCAAGGCTGGATTAGACTGAAGCTGGGTGCTGGAACTCAATCTCTGTGTCCCATAGGGATGGAAGAGACATGACCATCTGAGCCATGGCTGCTGCCTCCCAGGGTGCCCCTTAGCAGGAAGCTGGAATCAGCGGAGGAGCTGGGACTTGAACGTCAGTATTCTGATGTGGGATGTAGGTGGTCCAAGCAGCGTCTTACCCTCTAGACCAGATGCTCATTCATGTCTTCCATTAAAACAGGGATGCCTGAGAAAAATCAAAACATAAAAATGAAGGAGGAAAAGTCAAGTGTGTTCAAAATTTTTCACTCTGCTACATAAAAAGGAGGTCACAGAAATGTGGTTAAAATAAATACAGGGGTCCCTTTAAACCTCTATTTCTTTCAAAATTTAACATTTGTATCAATTGGCCAACCCATCCTGTGTTCAGATGACTTTCAACTTAATGTAGCTGGATTAGATAGAGAGATGGGTCATGCCTTTTTAAAAACTCTTTTTCCATCAACCTAAGTGGATATTTCCATTCTCCTGCTTTTAATACTTCAAAGTGATCTCAAACCGGAAGTGAGGCATAATTGAGTTTTCTGCATTTAAAAAGAGGAAGCTAATTCAATGTGGAGCAGCAGGCACCAAGCACTAGTGGAGAATAGAACCACATTTCACAGCAGTCACAGATCAAAAAGTCTGTTTTGAAGAAAACAATGTGGTAATTATTGATCTGTTTGAATTAACTTGGAGAAACGTAGTACTACATTTCCTGCTTTGATTCTCTGCTTTAATATCCCACATAGACACTTGAACTATTTGGCTTAATGGGATTCAGAGAAAATCTGTTTTGGAAGAAAACCTGGGGCTTGCATTTATTGGATTACTTGCTTCTCTTTTCTGCCATCCCTTTTCTCCTTCCAGAAGTCGAAAGTTTTTGGAAAAGTCCTTCGTATCTCAAGAGAACATTTGTGTGTCTTGTGTATCTCTATTGCATTTTTAGCAGTGATCACTAAAAATGTTTCCCACTCTCTTCCAAACCCATAAGCCTCATCCCACCTCTTCATTCTTTGGCAAATTTCTGTGATTTTTTACTTGACGGGAAAATATCATGTTGTGCATGCATTTGATCTATGTCTTTGTCTCTACTTTAAAATTTCTCTGCGACTTTTTTTAAAACAAAACGAAACATGTTCTTTTCTCAGAGAACAAAATAAAGCTTCTCGACTGAGGGTATTTTTAAGCTCTCTCATCTTCTTGGAGTTATTGAACATCAGTAGAATGCCTATTTCAAAGAGTGCTTTCTGTTTTTTAATATGATTTGAAATTTTCATTTGGAAAAAAATCAGACGCTTGAGAAAAAATAAAAAATAGAGAAAAGCTGCTTATACCTCCGAGCCATCTTCTGTGGCTCTTTCAGTATCCTCTATCACTTTTTTCCCTCTGGACCTTCAAACAAGGAGCAAACAAATCCAGGTTTCACTGAAAAATATTCTCCCAGCCCTTCATCCTTTCTGCTTCCACACTGTTCTCTTACTTTCATCGACTGACTCTGGAAATAGGAGTATATACTCAGTGCTTCAAGTATTTTCTTATTTCCTTCTTGTCCAGTTTAAACCTTACTACCTCATTGAAACAGTTGTCTCAAGGCCTCAACTTCAGCTTATCTGCAGCACTTACCTGTTCACCAATTGATTTCCTTCCTAAAACTTTGTTCCTTTACTTCTCATCTTGGGTCCTTCCTGTGCCTTCTCTTTGTCTAAGTGTTTCTGCTTTTATCCACCCTCTAACGATGAGTGGCCCTTTAGGTTCTGCCACAGGTACTCAGAATAACGACACACAAAATTAGTAAACAACAGAGGTTGATTTTGTTTGAGCCAATATCATGCTCATACTTTGAAAGTTTGTGGAAATAGAATGAAAAGATAAATTTACTTTGCTGCAAAAGGAGTTTGCAATCCATGCATATGAAAGGTCTCCAAAAAGTTCATGAAAAATCTAAGTTATGAAAAATACATTGATTTCAAACTTTTTTGCACCAACATAAACTTTCAATTCTATTTCCGTGATATTTTTGAGGTACCCTCATATAATGAGTTGCAACATATCAGGAAGTAATATAGACATTCTCAAAGGTAATTTTATATTTCTAAATGCCCTTTTTGTCCCTATGTCACCAACTTTTAACCAGATTTGGTTGCTGTTGTGGTGTTCATCACCCTATAACTACAGAATGACCTCCACACCTAGCCTGTGCCAACTGAAAGCAGTTCCAGAGGCTGTCACATGTGTGTTCTCACCTGCTTACTGCAAAGTGAGGCTTATGGTGAGGATTAGGGATGGATGTACAATTTTGGGGCCACATATGGACATCAAAAAGTGGCAGTTTTTCTTTTTAATATTTTGTTTATTTATTTGAGAGTTAGAGTTACAGACAGAGAGAGGGAGACGCAGAGAGAAAGGTCCTCCATCCTGTGGTTCACTTCCTAAATACCCGCTGCAGCTGGAGCTGGGCCAATCCAATGCCAGGAACCAGGAGCTTCTTCCAGGTTTCCCATGCAGGTACAGGGGCCCAAGCACTTGGGCCATCTTCTGCTGCTTTCCCAGGCCATAGTGGAGATCTGGATTGGAGGAAGAGCAGCTGGGACATGAACCAGGGCCCATATAGGATGCTGGTGCTACAGGCAGAGGCTTAGCCTACTATGCCACAGTGCTGGCCCCAGCAGGTTTTTCTAATCTATATTTCCATCCCTGCTGCCTAAGTCACTGTTAGCCACGCAAAGGGGCTCAATAAATGTTCCTGGACTTGAGACTGGTCATGAGCAGACGGTACTGTAGTGCAAGAAGGGACAACAGAATAGGCTCTTACAGGTGCCAATAAATAACTTGAGTTTCATTTTCCTTTTCAAGGGTAAGAACATGTGAAAACATAACAGAAATGTTCAAATAAGGGCAACTACATTTCTCAATAATACATTTTTATCCTGTATAAGTATAGGATATGGCAGAGGGTAGAGTAGAATGGCCAAAATTCTCCATGAGTTACAAGATACACCTGTAGGGGGTGAGTAGATCATTGCCATGTGAGACTCGGTGAGTAAATGTGGTGACAGAGTGAAGGGAGGGAAAGCTTCCAGCTAATGTGGTCACTTCCTGAGCCAGGTGGCATTTACACCGGGCATTATAAAACATACACTTAATCGTCTCTGTGAATGTCTATTTTGCCTTTCGCTTGAACCAGCTTCCTCTCCCTCCCACACACACCCACATAGAGAGAGAGTGCCCATCCTTGGTGGCCAGCTTTGACCTTGCAAACCAGAATGCTTTCTGGTCATTTAGATCTGCATCTATTTTGTTTCCAAAGAAGTCAGACTTAATGAGGGCTGGCAAATTCTGAGAATAAGGACAGGATGAACCTTTGCTAACTCCTAGGCTGGTAATCAGAACACTGGGATTCGTGCTGTGGGAGAAGTATCCTGCTTGACTGTGCCCGTAAGTCAATTTGTTCTAACTTCACCCCCAAGCAGGATCTGCACATTTCCTTTTCAGGAATTTAATCTCCACTGTGATGTCCTGTTGATGTTGACTATTAGCCTTGTTCTAATAAGACCATTTGGGACAAATTGGATCTCGTAACAAAAGTTTGATGCACCTGCTCATGTCATTTCTTCTTCCTAGCTCCTCTGAGCAAATCAGAGGAAATGAGTGGAGAGTGGAAGGTGATTTCATTTTATGAGAATATTTTTAAAATTGGGAGATTCAGTGAATGAACTAGACCTTCACCTTGCTCTGAACCAGTTTTGTTGTTGTTGTTGTTGTTGTTGTTGTTTAACCAGAAACTTTGTGTCTGACTCTTTCTGTTAACAATTAATGGGAACTTGGGTGGGTACCTATTGTGTGCAAAATACTGAACCTATGATAATAGAACATGAAGACATATAAGGCCTTGTCTTAAATATGTAGGTATGAAATAGTATGGCTATAGGAAAAGATCTCAAAATGAGGTAATATGGAAGATCCAAAAGGAGTTATTGATCTCTAGAAAATAGAACCTTTTATCATTAGAAATAATGAGAATGTGGCACAGCCAGTAAAGCTGCCACTTACAGCTCCAGCATCCCGTATGAGCTCTGGTTCATATGCCAACTGCTCCACTTTCAATCCAGCTCCCTGCTAATTGCCTGGAAAAAGCAGCAGAAAATGGCCCAAGTATTTGGCCCCTGCATCCATGTGGGAGACCTAGAAGAAGCTGTTAGCTCCTTGCTTTGGCCTCATCCAGCACTGGCCCTTGTGGCCATTTGGGGAATGAACCAATAGATGGAAAGTCTCTCTCTGTAATTCTTTCAAATAATAAATTGTTTACAAAAATAAAGCAGGAAATATAGGGGCACATGTGTAATCTCCTGTTCATGCATGCCATTTCTCCTTCCTGTACTCTGTGTATTAGAGAAGAAGGGAGAGGGAAGGTAGTTCATTTGTTAGAAATAAGTTTCCAAGCAATTTGGATATTTTCAGTCTATGATACCCATGTTTCTAGACAGGAAAACAGAAAACAAACAACTAAGATTGTTTTACAAGGTTTGTTGTCTTAACTTTTGGTAGAGTTGACTTTTTTTTTTTGACAGGCAGAGTTAGTGAGAAAGAGAGACAGAGAGAAAGGTCTTCCTTCTGTTGGTTCACCTCCCAAATGGCCACTATGGCCGGCGCGCTGTGGCCAGCACACTGCATCAATCAGAAGCCAGGAGCCAGGTGCCTCCTCCTGGTCTCCCATGTGGGTACAGGGCTCAAGAACTTGGGCCATCCTCCACTGGCTTCCAGGGCCATAGCAGAGAGCTGGACTGGCAGAGGAGCAACCAGGACAGAATCTGGCACCCTGATTGGGACTAGAACCCGGGGGTGGGGGGTTCCGGTGCCACAGGCGGAGGATTAGCCTAGTGAGCCGCAGCGCCGGCCAGAGTTGACTTTTAAAGAATGAACACATTGGCGCCGCGGCTCACTAGGCTAATCCTCTGCCTAGCAGCGCCGGCACACAGGGTTCTAGTCCCAGTCGGGGCGCCGGATTCTGTCCCGGTTGCCCCTCTTCCAGGCCAGCCCTCTGCTGTGGCCAGGGAGTACAGTGGAGGATGGCCCAAGTGCTTGGGCCCTGCACCCCATGGGAGACCAGGAAAAGCACCTGGCTCCTGGCTCCTGCCATCGGATCAGCGCGGTGGGCGAGTCGCAGCGCGCCGGCCGCGGCGGCCATTGGAGGGTGAACCAATGGCAAAGGAAGACCTTTCTCTCTGTCTCTCTCTCTCACTGTCCACTCTGCCTGTCAAAAAAAAAAAAAAAAAAAGAATGAACACATAAAACTTTACGAAAGATCATATATGCGAAACTCACAATTTGAACCTAGAATAGAGAAGTGAGGGTATTATTCATAATACTTTAGCCAAACAATCTACTGACTATTGGACTCCTTACATACAGAAAGTGAATTTATTTACATGTTTACATAAATAAAATGAGGCTGAATCTGAGCCTGGGACAAAAAAAATGAAAAATACGATAATCAATCACAGCTGCTAACCTGAATAACTAAAAGTCTTCAAACATTGTTTTATAAAAACTGGAAGCAGGAATGTTCCTGGATTGTCTGAGTTATTAATAAACAATCTAAGAGCTAAGGAAATTCTGATACAGGACAAACATTCCTCTTGGCCTTAATATTCTCATGAATGCCTTGTCAGTCTATTTGGATTTGACAGTGAAGAACTCAGCTCATAATGCAAAAGTTCAAGCAGGGTGAGCCGGGGAGATTTCAGTCAGCCATTGTCCCAGACAACAACTGGTCCACTTGAGACATCCTGCTGTGCCAGAAAAATTGGTGGTTGAAATGAAATAGCCGCTGGGTTTCTGCATACATAAATATTAAAACAAAAACTGCCTAAGGGGAAATTATATGTTGGTTATTACCTTCTTCTTTTCGAGTCTGCATCTCAAATAGCTGTGTACAACATTTCTATTTAGGAGAAATCACGTACATTTTTTCTCAGAACCAGTAAACTTAAGGTACACACATGTACCTACCCACGTATGTGTAATCCTGTCCTAGCTGGGCAGGAAAATGAGCCTAGATTTATTTATTGTTTTTAGTACACACTTGGTTCACATTCCCTACATCAGGTACAGGAGGCAGCATTGCACGAAGCATCTTTCACTGCCCTTAATGAGATGGCCTTGGAATGTGAATGTGGAACCAAATGGCTTCTGCTGATTAAATCATGTGGTTAAGTGTGGCGTTGGTGAGGCAGAGAACATGAGTTCAATCCCCATAATGGGAAAACTGGATTTCACTAAGTTATATTTGGAAAAATATCAAGACATTGCTTCATGACAAATAGCCCCCACTTTGAAAGTAGGACAGACTTAACCAAATTATTCAAAAATTGATGAAGCTATGCAATATAGATGTATGAAATCAAACAGCTTATACAACCCAGTTATAAGAAAGAAAATATCTAACCTCCCTGTCCTGAGCACAGGCCATTGTTCACATTGTTTCCATTCAAGAAAAGCAGGACCCTGTCATTGTTGGTATATGTGGCTAACTCTCTGTTTATGCCATTACCCTTCTCTTTCTTTCTTCTTTGATCTAGACCCTTGCCGGAGGAGGCCCTGCAGTGGCGTGATTCTCTGGACAAGCTCCTGCAGAACAATTGTAAGTTTGTCCTGTTTTCTGTAAGGCCCAGGGGAGGGACAGAGACACGAAACACCTTGTGTTGCCCATGTCTTTCTTCCCCAATTTTTTTTTTTTTTTGACAGGCAGAGTGGACAGTGAGAGAGAGAGACAGAGAGAAAGGTCTTCCTTTGCCGTTGGTTCACCCTCCAATGGCTGCCACGGCCGGCGCGCTGCAGCCGGCGCACCGCGCTGATCTGATGGCAGGAGCCAGGTACTTATCCTGGTCTCCTATGGGGTGCAGGGCCCAAGTACTTGGGCCATCCTCCACTGCCTTCCCAGGCCACAGCAGAGAGCTGGCCTGGAAGAGGGGCAACCGGGACAGAATCCGGCGCCCCGACTGGGACTAGAACCCAGTGTGCCGGCGCCGCAAGGGGGAGGATTAGCCTAGTGAGCCGCGGCGCCGGCCTTTTCTTCCCCAATTTTGACATTTCTTCTATTTTTCAACGTGATCTCAGCAAGGAAAGCATACCATGGAAATGTGGTTATCGAGATCACTAGAAGAGGGAGGTCCACACACTGTGGAGAAAGAAAATAAGGTGTCCTGAAGAGTTGTCTTTTAGGTTGTGTTCCTAACTGTCCCACTTAATGTGTGAGCCAGAACAAACAGCTTGAGTCATGTGCTTCTGTGTATTCTCATCAGGAAAACAGAGAAGCTTCCTTTCTTGGCTCAGCCAGGAAAATTAGTATGGACAGGGTTGGACATAGCAATGTAGAGATCACTGAGCAAGCCATGAGTTAGTATGTCGTAGTTCAAAGTGCTAGCAATTGCTCCTGTCACTCGGAATAGATTTTTGTCTCCTCCAGTCTTCATTTCCTCTTTGAGGAATGTGCCTTTCACATCTTCATTCAAGACATGCAAAGGTGCTAACTAGTCCCACCTCCTGTTCCCTCTCCCATCCCACTCTTCATTAAGATTCATTTTTAATTATCTTTATATACAGAAGACCAACTTAGTACAAAGTAAAGATTTCAGCAGTTTGCACCCACACAGACACACAAAGTATAAAGCACTATTTGAAGACTAGTTTTACTGTTGATTCTCATGGTACAACACATTAAGGACAGAGGTCCTACATGGGGAATAAGTGCACAGTGACTCCTGTTGTTGATTTAACAATTGACACTCTTATTTATGATGTCAGTGATTACCTGAGGCTTTTGTCGTGAGCTGCTAAGGCTATGGAAGCCTCTTGAGTCCACAAACTCCGTCAGTCTTTACACAGGGCCTTAAAGTGGAAGTTCTCTCCTCCCTTCAGAGAGAGGTACCTCTTTCCACTGGGAGCTCACTCACAAGAGATCTTTCATGCAACCTTACTCATTTCTGACTCTCTTTTTACTTCTTGTACTCTAAACAGAGTTCCTTGTCCTGATACATATATATTCAATAAACATTTCTTGAATTAAGTAATTAATTTTGCTTGCTGGGGCTAGAAATTCCATGAAGTCACCTAGAGGAAAAATATTTATGTTTATCAATTGATTTATTGTTTTACCCTAGTAGTCTTGGCGCCAAAGCAGTTTGACAGATGACATATTGAAAAATTACAGATGCTAACTACTCTGGGTATGGGTATTTATTGCTACTGACAAGAAATCTGAGTTAACAGAGCTACTTTCATGTTTTCAAAGCCATTAAAGAGGTGGATAAATATCCATGTGCCAGATACAATCTTTTTCAGTCATAATAGTGTTTGGAGCCATGTGCTGTTATGTTTCAGGCTTTTTAGGGAACAGAGAGCTCCTAGGAAAGGAAAACTAGAGGGAAGAGGAGTTCAGCTGCAGGCAGTTAGTGCTAACCCTAAATTAGCATTGGTTGAAGGACTTCAGTCTTTCGGCTTGCAAGCTGATGATTGCCCTGTTGTTACCTTGAGGCTGGAGATTCTCACAGAGAGGAAAATAGGAGGAGGCTTTAAAAAGTTCATGGAAAATAAAATTAAAAGATTTTTATTTTAGTGTAAAAAACTTCTGAAATCCATGTATTTCTTCCACATTTTACAATTCCAGGAACTTTTAGTAATTTTATTATTTAATTTTGTTTATTGGAATGGGAGAGAAAAACAGACTGAAACAGAGATAGCGAACCAATGGTTCAGTCCTATAATGCTTCAACAGCCAGGGCTGGGCCAGGCCAAGGCCAGGAACTTGGAACACAATCCTGGTCTCCCACATGGTTGAAAGTAACTCAACTACTTGAGCCATCATTTGTTGCCTCCCCAGGGTGTGTATTAGCAGGAAACTATTATAGGTGGAGCAAGGTCTTGAACTCACACGTTTTTCTGATACTGGATGTGGGTGTTCCAAATAGGTTCTTAACTGCTGTGCCAAATGCCAGCCTCTCCATGAACTTTTGAAGATCATTCATCTATATGGATATCTTTGTGTTTGTGTTTGTCATATATATGTTTAAGTAAGAGTCATAATATTTTATTTAATAGTATGTAATATATATTATAAGTTTATATTTGTTTATATATTTGTATAAGGTGAGTATATGTGTATTTGTAAATATGTTTTTGTATATGTGTATAATTCTGAGTTCCACATAATTATCCTCTTAAGTAATTAATATATATTTGGACAGTTGATTTCTCTAAAGCAATGAATAGAAAAGCTTTAGATAACCACTCTAGTTAGTTCTTTTCTTGAAAGACACATTTCCGATCAAACTGGCCAAGTATAAAAGACAAGGATGGGCTAGGTGTAGAGATTGCAGAGAAACCAAGGCAAGGCATCCCCCAAGGGAGGTAAAACCATGGGTCAATATGACAGTCTCCCACCTCTATTTCTCTGTTCTTACTGTCTTTCTATCTCTTCTTTATCTTTCCATAGCCCTCACTCTGCCTCTGCCTCTTTTCTATGTGATCTCTTTTGCCACTCTGTTTCTGCTTTCTCCATCTCTCTGTTCCTAGAGAAGAATATGTGGAATAATAACTGAACCCAAAAAATTCTATCCCAGAATCTTCAAGCTGAAGAAACAAGATTCCAACAGTTCCCCCAAACCCCAGCTATTGTGCATATCATGAATAATTGTATAGTAACTGGCTACTTCTTATGAGATGTTCTTATTTAAATCAGTTCAAACTAATAGTCTATAAATCAGAAAATACCTAATATTCGCTGTAATTAAATGTAAAACAAGTAATGAAGAAAGATGTATTGTATTTGAGCATTATATGCATTTAATAGTTCAAATCAAGGGGCTGGCATTGTGACACAGCAGGTTAAATTGTCACTTGCATTGCTAGCATCCCACACTGGAGTGCTGGTTTGAGTCCTGGCTGTTCTGCTTCCAAGAAAGCAGTGGAAGATGGCACGAGTGCTTGGGCCCTTGCCATGCACATGAAAAACTTGGATTGAGTTCCTGGCTCCTGGCTCAGCCCAGGGCCAATGTGGCATTTGGGAAGTAAATCAGGAACTGGAAGATCTTTCTCTGGCTCCTCTGTCATTCTTTCAAATATATAAAATAAATCCAAAAACCCTTCAAATCTCTTCTTCCATGTTTGATTTGGTAAATTTAAACCATTTAAACTTTAGGAATGACATTTTTGTTGACTTATAAGCAACATTTGGCCTTTTCTTGCTCTAATGTAGAATATTGACTCTTACAGTTGATACAGTTCCACAAATAATCCTTAAATCCACCTTTTCCTTAAGTTTTCTTGAGTAGACATGAAATAATGGTATCAAGCCTCTAAAAACACAAGGCAGTTACTCCCCAAATACATCTTCTTTGCTAATCTGTTACTTTTCCTTATTTTAAAAATAATTTTTAATCACCCAATATATTTGACTCTGTTTTGAAAGTACTTCTTACCTGTTTTATCAACTTCTTACACATTTTGCATGTAAGAAAATACAAAAATAAATTGCACACAAGAATTTATAAGACAGAAGCATTAAAGAATTCCAAGACTCAACCATTGTTAAACATAGAGGAGGGGCCAGCACTGTGGCATAGTGGATAAAGCTGCCGCATGCAGTGCCGGCATCCCATATGGGCACTGGTCCAAGTCCTGGCTGCTCCATTTCTAATCCAGCTCTCTGCTATGGCCTGGAAAAGCAGTAGAAGATGACCCAAGTCCTTGGGCCTCTGAATCCATGTGGGAGATGTAAAGGAAGCTCCTGTCTCTTGGCTTCGGATTGGCACAGCTCTGGCTGTTGCAGCCATTTAGGGAGAGAACCATCAGATGGAAGACATCTCTTTCTCTCTCCCTCTCTCTCCCTCTCTCCTTCTCTCTGCCTCTCTTTGCCTCTCCTTCTGTGTAAGTCTGACTTTCAAATAAATAAATAAATCTTTTCAGAAAAAGAGTAGAGGAAAATGAAACACAGTCCAAGAGTAACAAGAGTTTATAAGGATCCCCTTTCCCAGAAGTCCTGAAAGGTCAGCACATTTCCTTGAAAACACTTGAGGTTAGAACTCTTCCATGGGGAGTGGAGTAGCCTGGATCCAGGCCCATGGTTTAGTTTCCATCTTTGCATTCTCTTTTTGCTTCTATCTCCTTGGTTTCCAAATTTTTTCTTCTCTTTACTGGCTCACATTTAACAATGTTTTCCTCCCTGGAAACTGCAATTTCCTTTAAGACAATTACAATACTTAGGAAAGTAATAACTAACAATTATTATCATAGGACAAGCATTATCCAAAGCACTTTGCATAAATTAGTTGATTTGAAGATTGAAATAATTTTAGGACTTAAATACAATAGCAATTCCTATGTTTCCAAAAAGAAAAATGAGATGCAGAGAGGATATATAATATGCCCATGAAATAAAATACACAGCAATGGAAAAGCTGGTAGATTAACATTTTTTTTTTTTTTTAAAGAAAGGTTTTTTTTTTTTTTTTTGACAGGCAGAGTGGACAGTGAGAGAGAGAGACAGAGAGAAAGGTCTTCCTTTGCCGTTGGTTCACCCTCCAATGGCCGCCGCGGCCGGCGCGCTGCGGCCGGCGCACCGCTCTGATCCGATGGCAGGAGCCA